TACCAGTGGTAGGATGGTGATGTCTAGAGTTTCATTCCTGCCGTTGAAAAAAAGAACAGTTAAAAAAAAAAATACAAGTTACTTATTTTGTTGTAATAGATTTTCTTTAATTATGAGTCTTGGTGCATCTGGCAATGGAACCTATCCAAGTGTTGTTTCCTATTCAAAATCTATATAGAGATAAAATTTGGATCTAAAATTTCAGAAGTTGATAATCCCGACCATCAGATCATGACTCCGGAAGAAAAAGGATATTACAAATAGATTAAAATTTGGATTTGGATCATTTATTTCAGTTTTTCTTTTAAATAATCAATTTAAAGGTTAAATTTTATGTTTTTTTTTTCAAATTCATGATCATGGTGGTCATTGTATTGACCATGAAATTATAAATCAAAATCCATCTCTAAAATAGGTATTTGGAAGAGGGTCACATTGAAATAGTATTGTATTTAAACTTTTCGCTTGATTTAAGGGTAGGGTTTGGTGTCTAGAGATGCACCACTCCCCCAAAATCCATAGACCACAACGATCATAAAAATTGATTGTTGAGCCTTAAAAAATTGGTATGTTTTGCACCATCTTTTAGAAATATCCATTTTAATGCTTAACATATCACCAGATCTGTACTATTTTAGGTGCTCCAAATTCATGGATCCAAGGCGGAAAAAATTTTGCAACAATTATGAATGTGCTTTGGATCCGAATTCCCTAAAAGCCCAGGACAAACACAAGAGCCAGCCAACTCACCAAATATTTGCTCTATGTTTATGTATTGATGATGATTTAACAAAAGCTTTTATGATCTCTCAAAAGATTTTAGATATGCTTGAATTCTTTTCAGAACACATGCTGGTATAATTGGAACTCAAAACGTCACGATATAGCATGACCACCTATGCCTTGAGTCCATCCTTAAGTTGAATTTCAAAATTAAAGACAAATAATATGAGCATGAAATTGTGCCAATTTGATGTCTATCAAAATGGACCTCTAGATTCAATCTTGAAGTGTTTATTTGGAGCAATTTTTAAGTTTCAGAGTACATTTGTATTCCTTTCTCTTTAAACTGCTCATAAACATCTATAGTCACGATCTGAGGCTCAAAGCCCATTAAATTCCTTAACTAGATGTTTTAGATGATTGACTCCTATTACAATCTATGATATTCACATCGATTTACTCGGCTTGATAAGGAATAAACACTTTTCATTATCTTCATGAAATTAGCAATTCTCACGCATAAAAAATGGGCAAGCTTTCTATGTTTCCATATTGCATAAAACTTATATACTTCCCGCTATCCAACCGTCTTTCTAAATGGATGGTTGAGATGGCCTCAATCACAATGTCATGTCTCTACACCATTTTATTTTTAATTTCTTTCTACAAAATGTTTTGACGCCAAATTTTGGATGTCTAGTCCTCTTTTAAACTCACACTTATACAATATATAAAAAATATTTCCAATAAAATAAAATAACCAAAATAGCCTTAAAATATTCAAGGGGTATTTAAGTCATTGTATTTTATTGAAAAAATATTTTTAATGCTCTTTTTAGGTGCGCCCCATCGAGAAGATAACACATACCAAATTTCATATTCATACAATTTATATAAAAAAATACAAAATAAAGTACTATGAAATGTCAGATCTTGGATCAAATCGCCAGTGGCTCAATTGATCAAAACCGGACAGTTAGATGGGAGAAGCATATATTTTACAACCTTTCCCTTAAAAAATATATATTAGTTTCTTTCTGGTGGGGCCCAGATCCTCCATGGTTTTGTTTGAGGGGCCCTTGAACTGGTTGGTCCAGGTTTAGATCCAAGTTCGGCCCCTTTCCCATACTTTCAAATGCGATCGGGGTTGGGGAAAAACCTGAATGCCACCCAACATGTTTGCACACATGTTATCATCCGGTCATTTCAACTCGTCAACTAACAAACTAAACCATAATGGCTAGGTCAGTTCAAAATGGTTAAATAAGGCAAATGCTTGGGAACCAGATCCAAAGTTACCGGACCTATACTCGGACTTGGATCCAATTGGGCCTGATCTAAAAATAAAAAAAATTATAATTAAATGTTAGGTTAAATCTATAAATGTGTTGTTTAAATATTTTAACTAAGAATATTTATATATAATAACATTATTCTGATCGGGTTCACATGGACCCAAACCCAAATAGTGTTCAGATCCAATATTTGGACTCAAACCCAACCCATTGGGTTTAATTCTTGGACCTATACCCAAACCCGGGTCAGGTCCCGAGTTGGGTCCAGATCCATTGCCACCCACTATCTCAATGTCAAACAATTAACCACTAGCACTAGGTTATTTACATACATCGCTATCCTTGACAACCTAATAGAACAAAGGTCTCAATAGAACTAGACAATAAAAGAAAAAGAAATGTAGAGTCAGCTCAGTTTTTGTTGCTGGGCAAACTTAGGGTTAAAATCTTGACACTAGGCAAGTACCAGTCAGGCTAGAGCGAGGGAACAAGGCTTGATAAACCACCACACAAGAGTTCACAATCATTCTCAGTTGATAATTCAAAAATCTCATATCCGAGGCTCAAAGTCCAATAAGTATTTTTCTCGAACTTCATAATACATTCTAAACCACGGCTGCACATCACATTCACTTCTCATAGCTAAGGGCAATTGTGACCATAAACATCTTATCAGGCTAGGAAATATGGGCAAGCTTTCTATGCTTCTCCTACAGGATAGAAGTTCTATCCTCTCCCTTATCCAACCATCCATTCTAAATGGAGGGCTAAGATTACCGCAATCACAATGTCACACCTCTACATTATTTTATTTTTAATTTTTTTTGTAAGCTATTTTGACCCCAAAGTTTGTACATCCATTCATCTATTAAACTCGCACTAACGAAAAATATAAAAAAATATTTTCAATAAAATAAAATGACCAAAATACCCTTGAAAGTTTCAAAAGGTATTTTGGTCATTATATTTTATTGAAAAATAATTTTTAATATTTTTTATTAGTGCTTCCCAATGAGAAGATGGCACGTACCAAATTTTAGATTCATACAATTTGTATAAAACAAATTAAAAATAAAATACTTTGAAACATCGGATCTAAGATCAAACGGTAAGTGGCTCTCTTGATCAAAATTGGATGGTTAGATGGTAGGGGAGGATAGAACTTCTATATTTTAGGGGAAGCATAGAAACCTTTCCCAGGAAATGTTATATTAAGAGTCTTTTATTTACAAAGGAAAAAGTTTATATAAATACAAGGTTCTAAATAATCAAATTAAGAAACACCTCAAAATTTTCACTAGAAGAGGTTATTTGGATGTCCAAATATCCTCAAATTGATCAACTCAACCTCAAGATGTATGGACATGATAAAAAAATGGATTTCAAGTTTTGAAAATAGTGTATCTTTTTTTTTGCAGTTAATTTTCAAGATTTTCGAGTTTTCATAGATCTACTTAATCTACACTAGTTTTGAAGCTTTAAATTTTATAATTAGAGGAGAAAATATATTTTAAGGCTATCACAAAGATTTCCAGTATTGAAACTGCATTTCTTGACACTATTTGAACGTGCATTTTACTTTGATTGTTTATACCCCCGCTCTAAGACATAAGACATAAAACCAATCTATAGTCTTTTTATTGAAGGGGAAAGTATATATAGAGCCTAAGCTCTAAACAATCCAAGTAAGACACCCACCTTAAAAATTTTATTAGAAGGTGTTGTTTTAATGCTCAAATATCCTCAAATTAATCATCTTGACATCAAGATACATAGACATGAGAAAAAAATGGATTTCAAGTTTTTGAAATACTGCATCTTGTAATGCATTTTTGGGTCGTCAGTTTTCAAGATTTTCAAGTTTCATAGATCTTCTAGATCTACACTATTTTTGAAGCTTTAAATTTTATAATTAAATATAACAAATATATTTTAAAGCTATTAAAAACATTTTCAGTTTTGAAATCACATTTCTGGATGCTATTTGAAGGTAGGCTCTACTTTGATTGTTTAGAGCCTAAGCACTATATAAACCGCCGCGCCCTTTATTGAATAGGGTGAAGAATATAGAGAAGAAGCACTGAGCACGTTGCAGGCCATGAAGTTAGCATGAATCCACCGCACACGAAAAGGACAAAGCAATGTCAAGGAGAGGTGGTTATGAACCAATGAGCCGCCATTGATAATGTAAGGGACCCATCCCTTTCCCATCATATATTGGACTACTTTTTGGAATGAAAAGTCCAAAACTCTGTGAAAATTACATGAGAACCTGACAGCAACTTTTAATCCACAGTTATATGTTTATTTATAGAGAGAGATAGAGAGGAATTTTCTTATGGAAGAAGAGAGAGAAAGTAAATCTAAATTATGTAAGAACCAAGAGAGAGAGATTAAGAACCTAGAGAGAGGATGATAGCTTCTTATGTAAGAATCAAGAGAGAGTGTTTCTAATACAAGAACCATGAGAGAGAGATTCTTATTTAAAAACCAGGAAGAGATATGGGTAATATTGAAAAAAAAAGAAAACCAGAAAGAGAGATGGGTAATATTGTAAAAAAAAAAAAAACAAAGAAAGAGAGATGGGGTTTTTTTCGTTTTACCAATAGGAAGTATAGAGAGAGAGAGAGAGTTTCTTAATGAAGAAACATGGGGCTTGTTTTTCTTAGCAATGGGAGAACAAAAGGTAGAAAGAGCAAAGGGGATTTCATGGTAAAATAAGAACATGCCAGTTGGAATCTATTCAGCAACTAAAACAAAACCAGCCAATAAATTTTTGACCTAAGAAAAATAGAAAAATAAAACATGTAGCAAAAAACATAGAGAACAAAAACCCCAAATAATCAGATAAGAGATTCTTTCATTTGAGTAATTTCACATGAGAAATAGGGCATGACCCAAAAAAAATTAATCCAAAATACAAAAAAAAAAACTGGTTTAAGCAATAATTACATAGAATTTCTTATAATTGCAACAAAAACAAAGCAAGGAAAAAGAAGCAATCTCATATTCTTCAAAATGAAAACCACAACCACCACCACTGATTAATCACCTGCGCTTGTTCTTGCTACCAAGCAACAAAGAGAAATAAAAGAGAATCCTAAAGAAGAAACCCCAAGCAATAGTAACCCACAAACACTCCCATTTCCCCAACTGTGTAATCCCTTGCTCTCTCAATATATCAACCCCACTGGTCACACAAGTTGATTCAGTCACATTCCTCCCAATGCTTCCACTAAGTAACCTCAAGAACATGGTTTTCATGGCTGGGGTCATTGCACCAAGAGGGGTGTTATCAAAGACCTGTGTGCCCCTTGAGAAACAAATTGTAGGGTCATTAAATTCATTTTGTAGGACAGCTTCATATGGGTACTTAACCAGAGAGAGGTAATGGAACCAGATCCAATAAGCTGGAATTCTATCTCTATTGATGAAGAAGCCACTAAAGAGCAAGAAATATGCCAATATGGCAACCACCACTGTGTACCCAAGCATAACATGAGAGACCACACCTGATAGAAAGGTCACAAAGGAGCTACCAGCCCAGAATGAGGCAAAGATGATGAGGAAGAAGAAGAAGAATCCGGAGGTTCCACCCCCGAGCCCGACGGCCCAGAATGTGCTTGCTGCGAAGGCTCCAGAGAGGAGAACCAGGGCCGGCACAGCCACCACCGAATTCGATAGCACGTAAGAAGATCGGCGGTATGCATTGTACGCAGTCTCTCTCATGAATATGTATCTCTCTTGCAAGAACACGGGCAATGCGTCGGCGCAAGTGTAGAAAGTGGTGGACATGGCAAACGCGAAGAACCCGAGCCTTTCTTGCACCCCTTTTGGCGAGTGATCGAGCTTCCAGAATATGGTCGCCAAGATGAATCCAGTGACCACAACAGCGCCCAATCTAATCAAGAAGAGCTCGGGCGTTCGCCTAATATTTAAGGCCGAACGCCTCGTTAAAACCCACATCTCAGTCCAGAAAGGGTTAGCAAACGTAGCCATAGCTGAAGAGCTCGAGCTCATAGAACTCGAATCGGTTTCAGGCTTACCGGAAACGAGCTTACCTCGGGATATACTCGCACTTATCGCATCCTTGAGGCTCAGCCCTTGCCTAGTCGGTGAGGCTTGAGGCGGGTACGCTTTCTGCCATTGTTTGTTGAACTCAACCAAGGCCTTGATCCCTCCTGGTGTTCCCTCGAGCTCGCGAATCAAATCCAGAGCAAATTCAGTCCTGTTCTCGCTTTCAGGCATTGCGTGCCCGAATTCTGAAAAGAAATCAGGCAATTTCAATGGAGGACCGCTGTACACCGTCTGGCCCCTGGATAAAAAGATCAGTCGATCCAACAAACCGAGAATTCGATAACTCGGTTGGTGCACGGACATTATCACGATGCTACCCGACTGCGCGATTCGCTGAAGCACCTTCACCACCATGAATGCGCTCGTTGAGTCGAGACCTGAAGTTGGTTCATCAAGGAATAAGAGGATGGGGTCGTGTACGATATCAATTCCTATCGACACACGACGCCTCTCGCCTCCTGATACACCACGGTGGCCCTCGTCGCCGATGATCGTCTTTGCTGCAGCCCGTAGGCCCAGCTGGTCGATCAAGGCCTGCACACGGGCTCTCTTTTTCGACTTTGAGAGTGTTCGGGGGAGTCGAAACTCAGCCGAAAACATTAGGGTTTCTTCGACAGTGAGCATTGGAAATAACAAATCATCTTGCATCACATAAGCTGAGATTACCTTTAATAATCTTTCTTCCAATCTCTCTCCATTAAGGGTGATTGAGCCCTTTAAACTCCCCCTCGCTATCCGGTTCGCGAGCGCGTCGATCAGAGTTGATTTCCCGGAACCTGAAGCTCCAAGAACAGCTAAGATTTCACCATCCCTTGCTTCACCGGATATGTCATTCAAGAGAGTTTTGGTCTCAGTAAATTTGTTCAGACCTTCAGGTCCGGCAGCTTCAATGTCTTTCTTACCGGAAAAGAGGCCAGAAAAAGTGATCTTCCGTCTAACCTTAACACTGTAACTGAGATTGTTAAAGGAGAGGATAAAGGGGAGCGCTCTCTGGTTCAAACTCAAATCAGTGAACTCCAAAGCCCGGGGATCAGCTTCCTGATCGCCGCGAGTATCACCGACGTGTTTTAGCAGCTCTCCGAGAGTCGGGGATGGGCCCTCAGACCTTTGTCCGGCGACATCATCCGGCCAGAGTCCTGAAAAAGTCGCCGGAAAACCTAATTGGGTCGACTGAAATTTTGGGTCTGATACAATCCGGGCCATTACAAATGGTTTCAAATTTTTTGGATATGGAAAAAACTTCAAGGGACGCGAGTATTTAAATACCCAAATCTCAGTAAACCAAAATATTATAACTAGGATTAGGGTTCGGCCATATATTTATTACTTCTAACCTTAGGTTTAATTTTTTGGATTTGAGAATGAATGCTGGTGTGGACCCTAGGATTTTAAACAAAGAGGAGAGAGGAAGTGGAAAAGATTAGAATTAAGGTTAGGTGAGAATTAGGGCACCTTCCCAACGCTGAGAGAAACAAGAAGGCCAATGGGTGAGAGCATTTTTAGAGAGAGAAACAACCAGGGTAACGGGTGAGCAGTTTTAGAGAGAGAAAAAGGAGTTTATAGAAGTTTAGTAATGCGTGTCTTCTTACTTCATTTTTCTCTCTCTAAGTCTTCGACTTTCTCTCTCTAGGATGAGGAGAGGAGGGCGGGTGAGGTGACCTACATTCTCCTATCCCTCCAATACACGCTTTCTGTCAATTTTGTTGCGGATGGTGTTCTCGTTGACACGTGTTAACATGTAAATGGCAAGAGACGAGGGAATGGGTCCCGAAGGTTGGGGTCTGGGCTAAAAGAGTGAGGGAGCCGTACCACGTGTTTAGAGGAAAGATCGGTCCCGTGCAGTGTTTAAAAAAACGCCGAGTCGTCCGGTTCGACTCGAGAATCGCCATAGACGGATCGAATCGGCGAAAAAACGGGAATCGTCTGGTTTTAGAGAGAACCGGACGATTCTGTATAGTGACTCTCCGATTCACTGTACGGAATCGGTGAGTCCCGTATATATATATATATATTATTTTTTTTTTAATCCATGATAGATTTTTTTATAATACTTGATCGATTTTTTTGTAATCCATGATCGTAATTTTTTTTTTTTTTTTTTTGTAACCCATGATAGAATTTTTTGTAATCCATGATCGAATTTTTTGTAATCCATGATCGAAATGTTTGTTTTTTTTCTTGTAATCCATGATCGAATTTTTTGTTTTTGGTTTTTTTTGTAACCCATGATAGAATTTTTTGTAATCCATGATCGATTTTTTTGAAAATTTGTTATTATTTTTTTTAATCCATATTATTCAAAGAGAAAATGAGAGAGATGATGATTCTGAAGCCATCCTATCCCAACCATATTATTCACATATCGAGTCCCAACAACAACAGTGTAGGAATGAGCACGACAGTGCAGGTGAGCATGAATAATGGACAATCTTCGGGGATTTTAGATTGGGAACACAACAAAACACTAACACTCAAGGATTTGGGAATAGTCAGACTCCTGCTAATATCGATGATTCATTTTTAGATCGAATCAATGAATTGTTAAACGAACTCAATCAATGGCACCAACGTGACCAAGAAGAACAATAACGTCGTCTATCATTTTATTTTTAGATCATATGTTACTAATTTTATGCTTTATTGTAGTCCATGTATGTTGATATACTTATTCCATAATAATTCTATGTTTATCCTTTTGTGTGATCTAAATTAAATGCTGAATGGCGGTTCATGCAGGGAAAGAACATATCAATATTCGCATATTCATTCAAAAACATGAAAATTCTTAATGGAGTACCCTCATTTCTTATTGAATTCCTAAAAAACAATATTTATAATGAATTTTAATAATTTTTTCGGATTTTTTTTAAGCTTTATTCTGACAGATTCACCTGATTCTCGATCTGGATCGCCGATTCGCCGATCCAGATCTGTTTTTTGGGAGCCCGATCCGGGTCACCGATCCGTTTTTTAAACCATTGGTCGCTCGTGCTTACTCTCGAGCATGGGTTAAAAAAACGGCGACTCGACCAGGAATCAGGTCGACATGAGAACCGCCGTGGGCATGTCGTTTTAGCGTGAAAATCGGATTAGATGTGAAACAACATATATGTTTGATGGTGGTAATTAAATTATATGATAAAAATATTATTCTTAAAGCTAATAATTAGGTGCTCACCACCCTTATTATTTATAAAAAAAATTTAAATTTATCTATCCAAATAAAACGTAAAAAATTTATTAGGCTATTATCTCACATGATCACTTCATTATATGATTAATAATTAATTAAATAGTTAATTGAGACTAAAAATTAGTACTGGTTCATAAGATATTAAAAAAATAAAAAATAATACTAATTTTAATTTATTAAATATTAAAAAAATATGAGTTTAGAGGATATTTTAAGATAGAAAAATAACACTAATTCATACCACTTTTAAATTTATTTCAACATTGACAACCAAATCTTTTATTTTATTTATTTTAATTTATTTGTATTATAAAGTATGTAATGTACTATTTTTCTTACAACTGTCAATAATATATTTTAAATTAGATGTTATTATAAGATATTTTGGATTTGTTATTATTTATATAATAAAAGAACTGTAAAACGAAACCAACAATTTCAATTTCAGTATATAAAATTACAGTTAGCTAAGTTGTAATAATTTTGGGTTATAGATAGTCAGAAAAAAACATATCAATATTCACATATTGATGAAAAAAATGAAAGTTAATAATGTAGCACCCTTATTCTTTATTGGATTTCTAAAAAAACAACATTTATAATGAATTTTAATATTTTTTTGGATTTTTTTAAGGCTTAATCTAAATGATTCGGTCGATTCTCAATCTGGATCGTCGATTCATCGATCCGGATGGGTTTTTGGGGCGCGAATCTAGGCCACCGATTCGTTTTTTAAACCACTGCTCTCAAGTGTATACCCTACAGCTCAAGTCATCTAGAAAAATGGTACACTATTAAATAATTGAAAAGAAAATATACAATGAGACCATTTACTTTTAGTGCAAGGTGATCACAATTAATCTTGACTATTGGATGTGAAATTTGGTGGCTGCATTTATTACATGATCAAGCTCAAAGTTTAAAAAAAATTTCAAACTTTGTGACACACCTAAGCTATTAGATTTTACATCGGATGGTTGTAAGTATTTGCGAGCTCCTTGTACAACAGGTAAACGGTCTCATTGCATATTGAAATATGATGGGTATTTTGATAAGAAAAAATATTGAATGAGACCATTTATTTTTAGTACAAGATAATCACAATTAATCTTGATCATTGGATATGAATTGAATGACTGCATTTATTCCATTGACTAAACATGCCTTAGAATTGTACCTAAAACATCTAATTTTTTTTTTACAATGACATCTAAGAGTATGGAGATATAACTCTGTCATGGCTAGTTCTAAACCGGTCATGCCGATTCCAACCCAGAGAAAGGAGGTAGGTTGTGTTAGGTTGGCAATCGGCACAAAACTTTTACTACATCTATTTCATAATTCTTGAATGGCACAATAGAACTTGCCTAGCTAACTTCAATTAATGGGGATAAAGCGTCCATGATAAAATTGATGATGATCTAAGAGTAAAAAAATCAAGATCGTTTTCTTTTCCAAATTTTCTCTCTCTTTTGAGATTAATTATAAAATGGAACTCAAATTTCTAAAACAAGGTCCGGAAATTATTGTTGATAGGGCAGCTCAGGGGACATTCTTATTGAAGGGGACTTTTTTTGGATGTTGTTAATTGGTGTAATCAGAAGCAGAGGATCCCTTGGATCATACACGCTTTTTGGGTTAAAATATATGAACTTCGCTAAGTTTGGGGGTCTGCTTCTGCCATATCTATCGTGAAGTTAACGATACAACATATGGTCTTGCTAAGCATGGAGTTCATCTTCCTACTTTGCTCATCTCTAATGCTTCGATACGTTTTTTGTAATTTCATGCTTTTTCAGCACTTATCTAATATAAGCTCTTAACATTAGCTCTTAACATTAGTCAAAAAAAGATTTTCCCTTTTTAAGTGGTTATTTTGCTTGGGAGCAAATGTACAATGTGCTCCAGCAAGAGCACACTTACCTTAGAGAGAGAGAAGTTCCTATATGTTTGTTCCACCACACCCTTCCCCAAGATAATGTATTTATGGTGTTGCAATTAATCTTGATTATAATTTCTTTGTTTTGAAATCGATAAGATACTTACCAATAAATCAAAAGTGAAACATGCTCTAAATTCAATTTATGGTTAATATGTTATATTTTTGATAAATGATCCTATAAGACCCTCTCCCACCTGTACGTAAGACCTCAAAGGATCATCATTGAATTTGGTAGGAATATATAGAAAAATCAAATCTCACATCCATGTGATAAATTTTTTAGAGATCCATGTCAATTTTAATGGTAATCATTTGTGGTCCTACACACATAGTGGCGGAAGATCATGTGAGATCATTACTCTATATTTTTAAATCTTGTGTATTACATTTAACCCCAAGTTGATTACTTATGAATCACGAGTGGGTGCTATGCTTAGGAGAGAGAGGGGTGTCCCATTTCTCTCTCTAAAAAGAGGTGTAAGAGTAGAAAGAGGGGTGTCCCATTTTCTCTCTCTAGAAAAGGGTGTAATAGTGACAAAGAGGGGTGTCCCATTTTCTCTTTCTACAAAGGGGTGCAAGAGTGAGTAAAAGGAGTGTCCCATTTTCTCTCTCTAAAAAAAGAGGTGCAAGAGGGGGAAAGAGGGGTGTCCCAATTTTCTCTCTCTAGTGAGATAAGTATCCCATTCTCTCTCTGACAAACCCAACGGCCCAAGCTACTTACTTGCATGGTCAAAGGGTTTAAAGAGAGAGAGAGGTCCCATGTGCTTCTCTCTCTAATACAACCAACCTGGAGCTACTTAATGCATGGTCAAAACGGGTAAGGTTGATGGGCTAACCCCACCCACGATCTTAGTGTGTTTGCCAAGGTAGGCGTGACCAAAACATTTCAACCTTCTTTATACAAACCCATTGCCTCATGCATCAAGGAATTTCTTCTTCCAATTTCAAACCTAAATAATGCTCATCTCGGGTCGGGACCAGCTTGACCCAAACCCGAACACGAACTTAGACCTGAATAATATTCGAGTCTAGGTTTTGAACTCGGTCCAAAAGTTGGACCCATACCCATTCCCATCTGGTCTTGGGTCTGGTCGGATCCGTCGCCACCCTCACTATGAGCTTTTTTTTTCTGCCTATTTTTATTATTATTATTATTATCATATACCCATATTATTGACAATAAGGCACAATGACTCGTCATTAAATTTTAAGCCATTTGATTTGTCTTTTAATAGCTTAAGATGGCCATGAGTTCTTACCGTATACGATGCTTTACAGCCAAACAAATAGGGCTTGAAGTGTTTTAGCTCCAACAGTTCAAAGGTACGGTTTGGGTATAGAGCGGGTTCAATCGGACCAAGACCCCGACTATTCGGGTCCAGGTTTTGAAT